TCGCAAAAAAAATTGGTCCATTTTAACTGCTTTTGTTGCTCCAAATACGGTTTTAGCATCAGCAGAGTTCATCGCGTTCCTAGTTTCTTATCCACAGTTTTTAGAGTCTATCCTCTTCGCACTGAACAACAACTTTAACAACTGCGTCTGGAGACTTCTTGATATAAAACGAAGGTACTCAGCCAGGGAAGGAGCGTGGCACTCGCCACTTTTCAAGTGGACAGCCAGACAGTTGAAGGTATTGAGCAGTACTTCTGCCTCAGGAATTCGCATAACTTATCAAGAGGTTGCATACTTTGCGTTCCGCTGCCTCAACGTCACCGCTTCAACCAAAACGCAGTCGTGCGTCAGATCATCGGGCGAACAGTCGCGGTGTAATAATTTACGAAAGAGTCACACGTGCACTTCACCGGAGCAGTTGGATGGAACCGAAACTAATACGTTGCAGGAGAACGCAAACATCTCGCAGACCTTCCACATGCAGAGTAAAAGTCGGTTCTTCAACATCAGATGATACGACTTCGTTTGCAATCCCGCCGTCACTCAATTCGCTGGATTACCACCTATCAGTGACATATTCGACCGTCGCTGAAATGCCCTGTCTGGCATCATGGCGAGATTAGCAACAAAGGTTTATACACACTGCCCTTGCCAAGCTGCAAACACTCCCCTTCATGGCGGTGGACCAGAGGCGGATATGCCGATTTTCGAACAATTCAACGCTGCCATCGCAAAAGGCGATAATTGTTTGGTGCAAGGTTCTAATGCCGATAACGTGCCCGCGATGACGGATGATTATTTTATTATTATTATTATTCGGCTTTTTATACTGTCATAGATTCTATTCTTTATTCATTAAAACGTCTCGAAATTATACTTTTTTTAACTTGTGAGGTTATCAGAATTATAAAGAATTATTAAAATACCTTAAATCCAATGATCGGTTCCCAAGAGCTAGGCCACAGATCCCACAAAATTTTAAGTTCGGTGGACGAGAGCGCTTCACCTCTCAGCCCTGTAACTGCATTCGCTGGTACCGCGTAAGCGACGTATACAAACTGAGCATCAGTTGGCGGGCTGCTGCCGAGTTGATTGAACGCCTGTAGCTGAATGACGTAGTGACTGAATCTAAAGAAAGATTTTCATTGCTACCCATGAAATCAAAAGCGTGGTAGATGGCAGGAGGTATTAAACGTACCGCATGAGGCCGGTGATGAAGAACTTATGTCGCATTTTGTTGCCATGACCGGACATAGGCAATTCATGAATGTGCCACAAGTCGTTTTTGCCGTAGATCTTGTGCAGAATACGGTAGCCAATCAGCTGCGAGTTCCAGCTCGATATTTCTGGCGGTTCCCACGAAACCAAGATCGACGAAGAATTGAAAGCCGTTGCTTGTACGTTGGACGGCGGGTGGCTTGGCTCAGCTTCAGACGTTTTCAACCACTCTGACGCGTCTGACCAGGAACTAAACCCAAAATCGTTGTGCACCCGTACCCGGAACTGATAGCTTGTAGCCGGTCGCAAACTAAAAGTACAAACACTGCGTTCAACGTCTAAGCATGTATTATGAATGAGAAGAAGATTGTGACGAATCATAATCTATCATCAAAAACAGCAATTTAATATTTTAAACAAATAATGGACAAACGTCAGGTATTGCATTTAAGACAAAACAGCAGTTATTTCGCTGACCGTATAATGGAACAGACTATCTACAAAAGTTAGAAAAATGGACTTTTCTTTTTGATCAAGGGAATGATTTTCTGATGCATATGTTTTGCAGCAATGGAAATCTCGCTAGACATGACTAAAAAACTTGTACTGTGTGCAGAACTCGATTTTTACTGTGAAAATGACTGGTATCATGGTAGTACCAAAAGTTAAAGGCAATAAAGGATTCTTAGTCGCAACTAACATAAGATAATATGAGACTACCATTGTGTCCAAAATCATTACATCAAAATGGCAATAAATCTGAGTGTGGTCCAAAAACCGAGATAATATCCTGACTTCATTTATCCTAATAACCTCTACGAATCATATGGCGTTAATAAAGGCGGTTACTTACAATCGCACGATGCAGTTGCTTCCCACTGGTCTATCGCCATACAATGTCCAACGTCCGCGGTCTTCGCCATCGCTTTGGAACTGTACTTCCGCAAAACGCGTCGGCTCTTTTAAGGTCGAAAAGTCATCCCACGCCACCTGCAGCTCCGTCGAGGAACGTAGGTGCTGTCGACCGTGGTATGGCCGGCTGGGAGGTAAAGCCACTGCACGTTTTTCAACTACATGAACGTGGCCCACCGCCTTCTGACCCCAGCCTGCCGAAGTCTTGGCTGCGACGGCGAATGCATACATCTGTAAAAGAGAGATATCGAATTCAACCCAACGAACAAGAATGGCAGCCTACAGCTTGCGGATCAAGTCCACTTGCCACGAACATGCGTAGATCCGAAGCAACCATTGCCGTTACAGCGTTCACTCCCTCAATACCACTCTATAATTGCAAACCCTTATGCAAAGAAAACAATTTCATGCAAATTCTAAGCGCGGCTACCGTATTTCTCCAGTAAGCAACAGAATAATGAGTGATTTTTCCGTTCGGACGATACGGTGGTTTCCAAGTCAGCGTCACTTCGGCGACCCTCACCGCAAACAAAAGCTGGGTGGGTGCGCTGGGAACTGCAAACGTAAATATCGCCGTAGGTTTGCGGAAGAACAAACGACGAAAACGAATCCTACCGTCTTCTGGCGTACGAACAGTCAACGCATTGTTGAAGGGACCAACGCCGGCAAGCGTGAACGCTGCAACACTTACGATGTAAGTCGTAAACGGCTGTAGGTCCTTAATCAGCACGGACAGCTCGCTCTGACCACTTAGGATACGAACGATCTTCGAAGCACTCCAATCAGCCTCCCTGTATCTAACCTAGATTTAAAAACTATTATAAGATCAAATAATTTCTAATTTTACGTTTAATCTTGC